GGTCGATAACACGGGTCGCGATTAAAATGCAAGAGATAATAAAAAATATCGCATAATTATATTAATATGTATACTACTAAGAAGAGTAGAGAGGACGGGGGAAGACTGAACGAGCGAAGAAATGAGTAGAAGGACATGAGAGGCGTCAGCGAGGGGCGCAGGTGGTGGAGGAGGCACGCCGAGAGCAATCTGTGAAGGAGGAGAGAGAGGAGAAGGAGGTGGAGGAGGAGGAGGAGGAAGGAGGAAGAGGAGGAGGAAGGAGGTGGAGGAGAAGGGGAGAAGGTGGGGATGAAGGTGTGGAGGAGGAGGAAGAGGGGAGAAGGTGGAGCGAGGAGGGAGGGACAGGTAGGAGAAGAGGTGGAAGAGGAAAGAGGTAGAGGAGAGGCGCACTCTACCTCCTCTCTCTTCACCTCGCCTCTATCACCTTTCTCCCCTCCTCCTCTTCCTCGCTCGCCTCAACCACCACCTGCACTTTCTCTAGCTCAGTCTACCTCCTCCTCTCCGCGCGCTCACCACTCCTCCTCCTCACACTACCTCTGCGTCGTCCTCTAACTCATCCACTCTAAATGTCCGAGGTAGAATGTACGGCGAGGGATTATAATTCCCGAGGGTTAACTGTTGGCGGGGTTAAATTCCGGGGGTTAATTGCCGGGGTAAATGTCCAGGGTGATTTGTCCGGGGTACAATGTCGCCGGGGGTAATTGTCCGGGGGTAAATTTCCGGGAGGTAATGTCGCGGGGAGAGATTGTCCGGGGAGTAAAATGTCCGGGGGTAATTGTCGCGGGGGTGATTGTCGCTGGGGGTAATTGGTCCGGGGGGGGGTGAATGGCAGGGGGAGGGGTAGAATGTCTGGGGTAATTGTACCGGGTATTGTCCGGGGATGGTTTGTCCGGCCGGGGGTATTTGTCCTGAGAACGTTTTCACCTACCCGACATTTTGTTTGAGATTGTCTTGAAAGATTTGTCTTGACTTGATACTACTAGTATCTATAGAATCACCGATTTAATATTTGTACTTTATTGCGTGTTTAATATTTAAAAGAAATTGCCAGATACCGGTGATGTTGCTCAATGTTATTTACAGATGTTAATTGTATAGAATATGGTTGCTAGATTGCAAACGCCTTCAAAATAATCTTACTAGCTTGATGGTGTAACTCAGTATATACAATGTTGCCTACTATTTTTACTTTCGTTATTAATTTAATAATATATATATATTCATTCATTCGCTGTCTTCGCTAACTCGGGATCTGAAATCGTAATTTGCAGGTTGCCGAAATCGAAAAGATCGAAGGGAACGTTAGCAGGGAATACCTTCCGCCCAGCGTCAGCGAGGCGAGTCTAGCCATGCACACGCTGCTCTTGGCCAATCAGACAGACGATGACGATACTCTCGCCACGGTTGCCAACGGCAACGACAGCGCGTCGTGGGCGAGCAGCGCTCCTGGCGGCAACGTGACGTACACGCGCACGATCAACGGGAGGACGGCGGTCGCGGCCGCCGTGTCGGTGAACGGATCCACGGCGATGATAGCAGACGACATCCGGGACATTATGCCGGAGGAGAGCGACGTCTTTCTGCAGTCGATCAGCCCGAGCATTGCAGTCGGCGCGATATCGGACTATCCGTCGCTCCCAAACGACACATTAGTCACGTCGACAGCAGCAGCAGCAGCAGCGGCGGACGTCACCGAATCCACGCTGTCCTTATCCAACATCACAGCGCATGCGCACGTTGACGGCGGCGTCTCTATGTTTGACTACGTCACCTCGACCGTAGCGGAGAATCTCGGCTGGGGGGGAACCGAAAGCGAGTTTGAGATGAGAAGGAGCGGGGAGGGAGAGGAGGAGGAGGCGTGGAACGACACGGAGGCGAATTCGCTGCGTTCCATCATAGAGAAGGGCGCGTTCAACATAACCTTGATGACGGGACGCCCGTGGGAGAAGATCGATGATTGGTCGGACGGCTCGCTCGCAGGCATGGCCGCGACGCATGCGCACAACGTCACGTCGTTGCCGGCAGTGATGTCCACTAATAACGTTCTCTTGTCAAAGGACCTCTGCTGGGAGACGATGGTCGGGCAGGTACTGGTAGTGGCAGTTCTAATAACAATGATGATGATGATAATGATAATAATAATAATAACAACAACAACAGGAGCTGTAATAGTAGTAGTAGTAGTAGTAGTAGTAGTAGTAGTAGTAGTAGTAGTAGTAGTAGTAGTAGTAGTATTGTAATAGTAGTAGTAGTAGTAGTAGTAGTAGTAGTAATAGTAATAGTAATAGTAGTAGTAGTAGTAGTAGTAGTAGTAGTCAGGGGCGTAGCCAGTAT